AATATATTTTATAAGCAAAGTATACCTCATATCATTAATAAATTATTATTTTATTTAAAAAATACTAAATACAATTTAATTTTTCAGACAAATTTGTCTAGAATACAGTTTAAGAAATAAAGTACTTTATAATAATTATTATTGGTAAATAATTATATATCTCATAATTTAAGATTTTTGTAAAATTAGTCTTATTAATTTTTATTTAGTTAAAAGTGGTATAGATCAAGAAAAAACTATAACTCTATTATTTTGATAAATCTATTATGATTTTCTAATTTATAAAATTACCTCATAATTTTCAGATTATTCTTTATCTGCATCTTAAAAAACCAACTTACATTCATTTCAAACCTAAACTTTAAAAACATTTGTATTAGTTTTAGCCTATATAGATGATACTCTTTAGATTGCACAGTCTAAATAAGAGCTTAATCTAATAACTAAAACTACCACATCTTTTTATTAAATAGCCAATATTCAGATTAATCTGACAAAGTTTATTTTAGCCACAAACTTCTCTACTACTTCTATATAGTTTGCTAGATTTCTAATTTATTTTATTTCTAAAAATCAACTTTTCAAGATTCTACTATAAGCAGCACTTCACTATTTTCATAAATGTTATAGCAAATCTTGTAACCTACTATCTGACAATACAGAACACTCTCTTGAAAATATCTTTTAATTTTACTTTTCACAATCATTTAAATCTTATCCAGTATTAGAAACCAATTCAAAAGAATGGAAATACCCTTCATTAGATTATAAATTATTTCAACCAAACCAAGAACTAGCAGCAACCTTTTCAAAACCAACACCAATAACTGAACTAAGAAAATTAGCTACATTAACTGAAGAAAGTTTCGCATCTCTTAATAATGTTAATAGTAAAGTGACCCAAGTTACTTATTATTTCTATTAATAATTGAAAAATATTTACATACAGCAGCTGAAAATGATGGAATTCAAGAGCTATCTAAAGAAAAAGCTCTTAAAAAAATTATAAACTCCACTTCTGATGTACACATACTAGCTCGAATAATTACCTTTTACGAAATTCGCTCTCAATTTAAAATATCTCTTAAACAAACAAGAATCGACTATGACAAATTTTACTACCCAGAAGCAGAAAATCTTCTAATCAAACATCTTAATATTTCTATCCCTACTCAATACAATGATATGCTCTTTTTACAATCTAAAAATGAAACTGAAAATAAAAATAAAGAAGAAAATTCAAATAAAGAAGAAAACTCAATCCCCACTATTCAGGATACTAGCTCTGACAATTCTACATGAGGGTACTATGGGTTACTGAATGGTTTGTCCATGCTGCAATAAAAAATTTTCCCACATATTAATTGTCAAAATTTTATCTATATTAGAATGTGCAAGATGATCTCGTTCTATTTATATTAAAGAAAAAATCTGATTACACATATTTTATTCAAAATCTGAATTAACGGATCATTGATTATTAAAAAATAGCTTTACGGGTCAATAAAAAAAAAACCAGCTTTAATACAAGTTTAAAAATAATATTATTAAAACAAGATCGACTTTGTGAACATGAATAATAATAATTTTTTGTTGGTTTAGTTATAAATAAAGTTCCAACTATCATTAATTTAAAAATTTTGTCCAATAACTTCGTCACTAGATTATAGCTCTATTTTTGAAATTAGGTAAACATTTAAGGTCACATTAATATTAAAATTTCATGAAGAATATTTTTTATTAATGTGCAGTAAGGTATTATATAGGCAAATTTTAAGTTACAACCATTTTTTGGAGCATTGAAATTTAATATTCAACATTAGTTTGTCTATTCGTGTTGACATCAGCGAATTCCAAATACTATTCAAGTTCCTTTTTTTCATCCTTGCCTGTGCCTATGCATTTCTGTGGCAAAATCTATTACTAACTTGTCCATCTGAATTGCTATTTTAGTAGTATTTACCATTAGGTGAGAATTTAACATATGATCTAAAAAAAAAACCATTGTAGATGAGCATATAATATATCAACTAGTTTTATATATTAAAAACAATAATGTTTTATCAATTTATACTAGAGAGTTATTATCATCCACTAATGTTTTTAGGCATTGACCTGTTGCAGTGTTCCAAATACAATTATATAAATCTAAAGCCCAGATTAATATAACATAGAACACATATATCATTATTATACTAAACTTTCTTACATTAGACCATCATAACTACATGATACAATCATTGTTCTGTCTCGATTGCTAAAACTGGATCAGAATGAGCACTATCATGTAAATTAATTGATATCAATAATTACTTAGTACATAATATGATTTGTATAATCATACCATTTCTGAAATCCCAAATTCTTACACTTTAGTCAAAATAACCAGACATGATCAAACTAGATTGTGGACTGTAATTAGCACAGAAGACGTAATTCGAATATCCTTTGAGAACTTTGACAGCTTCATTCTGTATCATATGCAATCAAGTTGAAGATGTAATATTACAAAAATTTATATAAACAGTAGTGAAGCTATTAATTACCTGATTTAAATGCTTTTTTTTAATCTTGGCTGTATTTATGCTGTTTCAATAGCAAAATCTAATATTAACTTGTCTAGCAAAATTCCTCTTTCAGCAAATTTTAAATATGCCTTTTTTTCAACCTTGATTGTATTTATGCCATTTCTGTAAAAGAATTCAATAGAATTCAACATTAGCCTGTCTATTCAAATTGCCACTAACAGATTTCAAGTACTAGTAAATTTCCTTTGTTATACTTGCCTGTACCTATGCAAATTTCTTTTGTTATACTTGCCTGTACCTATGCCATTTATGCGACAAAATTTAAAATTAAAATGTTTATACAAATTCCCATTTCAGCAGCTTTTCAATATTAATCAAATGTTTTTTTTTTATTTTGGCTATATGCTATTTCTGTAACAGAATCAAACATTAGTTGTCTATTCGAGTTGTCATCAGCAAATTTTAAATTTTTTTATACTTTTATATATCTATTCGAATTGCTGTCTTTAGTAGTTCACATGCTTGACATTTTTGTCATACCAAATTCTGAGGGGAGTCAAGAGGGCAGTATACAAGACAAATAAAATATTTAGAACTGTATAATAAATAATTGAAAGCTAATAATCGAATGCATATATTACACAAGGGGTAGTGAAAAAATATAAATTCTAAAAAATAAAAATAAAATAAATAAACTTTATATTTTAATTATAGTATATCAAAAGTTAATAATATAATAAGATTTTAATATTATAAATTGTAAATATCTTTTTTATCTAATGTATAAATTATAACTAAGATAATACGAATTAAGTGGTTTAAGAACAGATAACTAAAATATATTTATAAAAATTATTAGGACTAGTAGATAGATCACATTTAGTTGTCATTGATTTTTATGTAAGTTAAGCAAATAAAATACTTTGTGATCAATTTTTTTTTGTTTTTTTTTTAAATAGGCTAATATTTTGTATATATGTAGCATAGCATTAGCAATTACAATACAATTCAGAAATCAATTGGCCCACCATTAGCACCATAACATGCTTTTACTCATCTAATTATATTATTAGATAACTTGCGATAACATTTAGATGAAATCAAATACCAGGCAGCTTTAACTTTAATTTCCAAGTTCTCAATGCTTGTAGGTAAGTCTGGAGAACTGCGTAAATGTGTTTCAACCTCTTGCCAAAAGTTCTCAATCAGATTAAGGTCTGAACTTTGAGCAGGCCATTTTAATACAGGAATATTAGCATTTTTGAAAACATCCTTAGCTTTCCAATATTTGTAAGAAGTCGTATTATCTTGCTGAAAGATACCTTATCAAAGAAAAATTCAGAACCAAAATTAGTTGTGCACAAAAAAATTTTATGTGCAAAGCTAGTGATGTGACATTTATATGATACTCATATTTTTTTAGTGTACAGTCATACAGTAGTACAGTACATACAATAGTACAGTACGTACAGTACGTATACATAGTAAGATTTTTTTTAGACCATAAGTTTGGACTATTTCATAATTGTTTCGAAATATTCAGGAACTTATAAATGTTATAGAATTTTTTTTACTATACCTTGTCCATTAGGTACTAATTAACATATAGCAGAAATAGCATGTCTTCTTATAAGTTTAGTATAAACTTCACCATTTATAGTACTATGAATAGGAACTATAGGTCCTAACCTATGCCATGAGAAACACCTCCAGAACATAAGACCAGACTATGTCCTATAGTAGAAACAAGACATGATTCATCAAACTCTTCAGCTGGGGTACGTCAAACTGTATATTATGACTTTGATCAAATTGTACAAAAAAGGATTTATCTGACCATACTACATTTCGCTACTTATGAGTTGACCAATTCAGATGTTCTTCTGCTCAGGCTTTTCATTCTAGTCTATTCTTAGCACTAATTAATAGCTTATGATGTGCAATACATGATTTAAGACCACATTTTTTTAAAGCATGACAAATTGTAGAAATAGAAACTTTTTGGTTTTTTTCTTTTTTCCATAAATCTTGTATTTCTTTAAGGCTTAATCGACAGTATTTGGTATCTTGTGTAACCATTTTTCTAAGTTCTTCTAATGCAGATTCATTAAATATAGCTTTTGGACCAAGACATTTTCTTGGCATAGTAGATCCTGTTTGAGCATACCGTTTCAAAGTATCATGCACAGTGGTTTTACTGCATTTGATATTTTTGGCAATGGTTGCCAAAGAATCTCCATGTTTATGGCCATAAAGAATTCCTTCATGTTGAAGGTAAGATTTTTTTTTTTTTTGTCATTAAGCTACAAGATCTTAAAAGTTAAATTTAGGCAAATTATCTTTTTTATATATAGAAACTTT